TTCAAATATTTAATAAAAAACTTAACATTAATTTACACGTACAAGTGGTCAGATGTTCATAACATAAAAATTTCGAAAAATTTTAAATCTTGAAAGGTTTCTAAAATTTAAATTTTCTTAAACCTTTTCAAGATTTGTAATTAAAAAAAAAAATATATTTAACCCTTTAAAATGAAGAAAACTTAAGAATTATAGCAGTTGTTAAATATTCCGGTATGAACATATATGGTGAACCATTTGAGGAAGCTGATGTCTATTTTTAACACAAATTATTATTATAAATATTACGTATTATACAAATTATTGAAGTGGCAACAAAATATAATTTTCATATGATTTTTAAATATATTACTACTTATTTAATTGATAATTTGTATAGGGATTCATAAAATCATCGTAGTTTATATGATTTATTGTTAGAGGAAGCATCTTTAAAATATGCAAATTCTTTATAAAATTTATGAGAAATAATATGATGTACGAAATATGCCTATATTCTATAAAATATTTTTTTTATCTAATGAGTCATTTTTTATTTTGAATTTTTGCCTAAAGTAACATTTTTATTAAACTTGTTTAATTTTCTATATTCTATAAAATATAAACTTGTTTATTCTATTGACGCAAATTTATAATGTAAACAAAAGACAAACAATAATTGGTATACTATAGGGATTTTTGGTTGAATGAATCGAAAAAAAAAAAAATTAATTTTTATTGAATTTTTGACAAAAGCTTTTTCAAACTAAAAATATTGTATATTATTGCCGTGATTTAAATGCGGATTATAAAATTATGATGTTAAAAACTAGTTCACAAGTAATAATTTCCAAAATTTTATAAAATACTTATGTATACTATGAATCTGTATAATTGTGAATGTAAATACATTACTATATTCCGTCGTATATATTATACCAAATATATGTACGTATACACCTAAGATTTTAATTTTGAATGCCTCAAGGCAATAATAATAGGAAAATATTCCTAAATTATGGAATTCTTTTGAATGTTTTTAAATTTCTAAGAGTTTATTTATTTAGCCAAATAAACTAAATTTAATTTTTGTATTCGAAGCTCGAGACTTTTTTCGATTTAAAAAAAAAATGGTCCAATATACAGGAAGATTTGTTTATATACAAAACTTAGTCAGAGCAATTTTGATTCTATTTTATGCTTGTTTTACTATTTGGCTATAACGTTTACGATTGATTTTAATTTGCCATTTTGAATTATAAATGAAAGATTTTAAAAATTTTAAATAAAAATGCATAATTTGTAATTTGCTATGAATTTAAGAGCAAAATAGAAGCAATAACCTTATTGTGAATGGTATATAGTAACTTGTAACACATAATATTAATGGTAATGGCATGTTATAATAGTAGTGGCATGGAGAGTATTCAAAAAACAAATACCTAACCAAAACAGTCAAGTACATAATATCGGACTTACCAAAAACATTATGTAATTATAAAAGTATATCTTAAATTTTCGATATAAATTGCAAAATCATTACTCAAGTTCATAAATTTAAAATTTTGCTTTGCCATAAAATCGAAAAATATTGCTAAAAAATTTGCCAAAATCTTTGTTTTGATTTTTATAATTTTTTCTTTTTGTTTTTTGCAATAATAATAAATTACAACAGGTGAGAGAGAGAGTATATATCTATCTATATATAAAAAAAAAAGTGCGATGCCAATAAACAGAATGAAAAAGAAGGCATTTAGTTTTTATTTTTCTCTTATTTTTTTTGCCAATTTTCGCTTTAGCTTTGCTGTTTTTTATCGCTTCTTTTTTTTTTTTGCAATATTAAAGCAATAATAGTAATTATTGAATTCGCATATAAAATAGAGAAAAGAATAGAAAACAAAAATAACTTTTATTGGTGATTTACCATTTTTTTTTTTGCAAAGCCTTTTCTCAGCTCCCCATTACTTTATTCTTCAATAACTCATACATTCACACATTGAAATATAGAAAAGGTTCAATCACCTTTATTTTGTTGTTCAAGAGATGATTATCAACACCATTTTTATTTTTTTTTTTTTTGCTTCTTTTTTTTTTATATTGTAATCATCATCAATATTATTAACTTTTGGTTTTTTGTTTGTTTATTTGTAAAAAAAAAAAAAACAAAAAACTTACAAAGAATTTTATTGAAAAGATAAAAAAACAAAAATTTAAAAGACAATAACAATTTGTTTTTGTTTTCCGCTAATTTATTAGTAAAATTTGTAAAAAAGCAAAAAAAATTTATTACACGAATTAATTGTTTAAACCTGACGGCTATAATTTTCAAACACATTCAGGATTGTACGTATGTTTGCACATATGTATATTGAATATGCAACTAAATTATATATGTACATATTACGTACATATGTATACAAATGTATGAGAAGTTGAGGACATTCCTATTGTGTTGTACAAATAATCGTACAGTGTTTTCTTTTTTTTGCTACATATACAAAAAGAAATTATCAAGGTGATTCTCTTAAAAAGCAAAGATAAAATCTCATATATTTGGCAAAAATGATGTTTCATTGGCAAATGTTGAAAATTGTGCAAAATTTTTTAAAATAATTTTGTTTAAATGTTTTTTTGTTTTTTTTTTTCGATTTAATAAAATTAAACATATAGAAACTTTTGAGTTTTTTTAATGTTACAATTCATGTATCTACATGCATCTTAAAATCATGTTGTGTCTATGCATATGAATAATGATGCAATAAAACACTCAATATAATTTAAAAATCTTAATTATTATCTATTAAATCGGGATGCATATTAAAATTTTTAAATTTTCAATTACAATATTAGGCAGAATTGTGGTATCAGTAATAATTTTGGAAATATAAATCAAAATTTCCAATAATTGAAGATAAAAAGCTTATTAATCCAAAAATCGTATAGAATTGGTTTTGAATAATAATTTTGAAAATTTGGAAGTAATTAATTTATTTGTATAAAAAACGGAATAATAAATTAAATTAAATAATAAATTAATTATATTTAAAATAAATTAAAAATTATTAAATTATAATTGAATTTAAATTAAATATTTCAAACACATAAAATTTAAATCTGATCGAAATTACCCAAAATTCAACAAGAGATGAGCGAACTCAAATAATCTATAATTAGAAAGATTGTTCTTCAAAATTAGAAATTGATTAAAGAAAATCGAAAATCTACAATATTATAGAACAATGATTTATCATGAAACGACATACGTACATACATACGCACATAATTATATAAAAAACGCTATTCATTCATATGCTGCTATCCCAATAACTTATAGGTTCTAAGAAATTCAAAAATTCTTTAACAAATATTTTCAAATTGATTTCTTGATATATGGTACACACTCGTATTTCAATTATAATATTGCAATCTTAAAATTTATTATTATTTAATATCATATATTAAAATATAAATTATTTTCAAATCAAAAAAATATTTTAATTATTTTAATACAATTTAAACGCTTATAATTAATTAAAATTAAAATTGATAGATTTTTTATTAATTATAGATTAATTATTTAAGAATTGATTTACTTATTTACTTTTTCTTGTTTTTTCATTCTTAAAAAGCGCCTAGTCATTATTATATTTTATTTTCATATTATATAAACGAGTACAATATATATATATATATATATGTATGTAGAAATATAAACTGCAATTAGAAAACAATTTCATTCAATTAGAATTTTATAAATCAAAAAACAAAAAAAAAATGCAGCAAACATTTTTTATTTTTCGATTTCCTTTTAATTTATCATTGGTTATCTATAAATGAAATATTGTATTTCAAGTTTCTATACTGTGTAGAATCAAATATGTAATTTTAATATGTATATAACTTTTATTTTGTTATACATATTATGTATATATATACATATTATATATTCATAAGAATATTTTTAATTGAAAAAAAAAATTTCTGCATTTTGATTTGGTTGCGAATAGTAAATAATCATTACGAATGTTAATTTGAGCATACATACATTTCACATATATAAATAACATTTTTGACATATTACTGACATTTCTTCGTATGACATATATTGCAAATATTTTTGTTATAAAAATATGTTTTTTTATTGGTTGTTATTCAGTTTACAAGTGGATTTTAATTATATAAAAATATTATACATTTATGTATTTATAATATGCGTATATTGTTATATACATACATTATAATATTTCAGGGGTATATTTATACTCGTATATGAGAATATAAAATTATAAAGACATAATTATGAATAAGACGAACATAAACAGATTTTGTATAGGAAAGTATACTGGTAAAGACAAGAAATTCTTTTATTTTAACATTAAAAATTGCATATGAATTGCTTACATTATATGATATGGGCGTATATAAAGTATAAAGCACCTCAAAGACAACTAAAACTTATATAGAATGAATTTCAAATCAATTAATTAAAATATAATATATAAGTATTTGAAAAATACACTGAATATAATTATTGATTAATGATTACCAATTAAAAATTTTTTAACAATTAAATAGAAAATGTATAGATATTAAAATGTTTGTATATAAAAAAGAAATATTTGATATGGCGTCTATGATATAACAATAAAGTGACTAAATCAGTAACACGCAACATCATAATTTTAATTGCTAAATGCTTTAAATTAGCTTTAGAACTACATCGAAAAAGTCTATATAAGTCTATTGCCACAATTTATGTTAGATTGAAGATTATGTTTTTTATTTTCCAGTGAATAAGGTTTCAAAATTAAACGCAACTATTAAATATCACTAACATTTATAGGAACAATAGGACATATTATATAGATTTATTGCAAAGCATATTTTATTCGTAACATTGATATATATACTTTCAAAAATTATTAAATATAATTAATTAAAATTTTATAATTGTAAAAACTAGAATTATATGGTTTCATATTATGTATAAATTTAAAAAAAAAACAAAATACAACAATTACCTGTGCAGTTGCTGCATCAATTATTACATAGACAAGTAATATAATTTCTTTTTCATCCGATCCCAAATCTGGTCCATTTTTGCCACATGTGGCCACATACATCGAAACAACATGTCCCGGCACTTGCATAGTCATTTGTTTTTTTTTTCTTTAATTTTTCTTTTTACACTTCTAATTCAATATATTTCAATTATAATTTAATTTTATAATGTTTTAATTATATTTAATTAAATAATAATTTCCTTTATTATATAATAATCATGTATATTATTATATTAATTTTTTAAATAGAGCTTCTATATTGCTAATTTTAATAGTTTAATATTTTCAATTAATATAAATTTTTTTTTTAAATTACAATTTAAGTGTTAATATAATCAATAACTATAAAAAAAATTGATAATTATTTTATAAATTTATTAATTAATAATAAATGTTCTATTTAAAATAATATTACATAATATGATTTTCATGTAATGTAATAAAATTTAATATTCTTAATTTTTAATAATTAGATTTAACTATATAGTTTTGTTAATTGAAATAGTTATTTTAAATAAAATTATAATTATTTTAAGTTTGATTAATTATATACACTGTAATTAACTAAAAATATTTTACTAAAAAAAAATTTTTTTTTAAATATTTGCAAATCTTTGCAAATTATAATTTATTATTTCGTAAGCTATTTACAATATTAGTTTTTAATATCTTTATAATATATAATAATATTATTAATTCATTGTTTTTGAAATTTATGTTAAAATAGACCAAATATATTGTTATTTAAATTATAAATAATTTCTTTTTCAATTGAATAATTAAAAATTTAATATTATTTAAGAAACATATTTAAATTGTTTATTAAAAAATATTATAATATGTGTTATAATTTAAAATGAATAACATGTTATATTTAATTTTATATAATTTTTAATTAGAAAAAATATTGAGTAAAAATTTTGAATTTAAAATTAGAGTTTAATTGATGATCTTTGAACATATTTTCTTTTTTGTTATATATAGAAATTAAGTGTATTTGTAGTTCTTTTTGATTTCCGTGAGTTTTTTTTTTGTTTTTTGATTTATAATATTGAGGTTAGGGTTATGTATAACAATTAACGTATATAGAATATTAAAGTTTGAGGTTATATGTGAAAAAACAAATATTTTTTTAATTGCAATGAGTTGTTTATTTTTGTGTATCTGAAAAGAAAAAAAAGAAAAGAGTAAATTAGTTAATAAATCGATTAGTGACAATATTTAAAATATTGAAATAATAATATTGAATTTTATAATTAAATTTATATATTATATGTATTTACAATTTCATGATTTGTATATATTTATTTCCAATTCTTTAAGCAACACCTATCAGTATAATATTAATAAAGATAATTTTCTATTATTGCGATTAATTTGTTAAATTAACACTGCAATCGATTATAAATACCAAAATAACTCGACTCATAATATTTCTTATCATACTTAATAATAATATTGTTATATGGTAGGAGGTTATAGTCAAAGGCATGTCAGTCAGAATTATTTTTACTTGCTAGTTTTTCATTAAAATATTTTTAAATTTAAATTTGGCTTCCAATCGCATTTAAAATTATACAACGATTTCCAGAATTAAGTCAACTACTACGAGTATGAGGAGCGTTTTTTTTTAAATTTCGAATCGGACTAAAATTTTTGTATAATTCGAGATTACATTTATTTACGAATTTAATCCGAGATTTTAGTACGATCTTTTATTATTTTAATTGTCATACTAATTTCAAATTTATTAAAGAAACAAAATTATTGATTACACCATTTTAAAATTTTCTATTCTTACGGTATCACAATGCTTACAGTATTATATTGTAATTTTTATATAGAGTTGCCATATAAACATTTCACTTGTATTTTTGGCACATATATTATGTTTGTAATTTTTTCTTGAGTGTTAAACAAAATGTTATGAATTCTTTCATTTTGAAATCATTTAAATTAAATTATTTTGGCACTTCTTTTTAACTTTGACTTTAATTTTATTTTACCCTTTCCAAAAACAAAAATAACAAAAATAAAAACAGGTTAACAGATCATATTTTTGTTTTGAAAGTATTTTTTTTTTTTTTTGAAAGTTATTTCAATGTTTTATATAATATAAAAGTCGTGACTTATAATTTGATACAAACTGTCATCATCGTTATTACTATTTAGTAATTTAAATTTTTTTCTTATTTATTTTCTACTTATATGAAAATTTTTCTATTAAAATTTAAATGCCATTTGTGATGGCGGAACGTTGTTTATTATTGTTTTAAAATAGTGTCTGCGTTGTTGTTGTTGATTTCTTTTTGTTTTGAACCATTCTTCTTAAGTACTTGCGTACATACTCTTTCTTTTAATTACTTTTATTTTCTTTATTTCCAAAAAAAATTGTAGATTTTCTTGTTTTTATATCTTTATACTTACATTATGTGAGTGTAATAAAAATGTTTTTAATTTTCATAACTTAAGTAACTTTTTTCTAGAGTCTACTTTACTCGTATATACTTTATTATTCTCTTATACTGGAATTTATTTGATAAAATCACTTTGACCAAAATTATTTTATTATCAATTTCTTGAATTTCCGAAAAAAAAAACAAAAAATTTGAATCTCTTTTAATTGTACCCTAATTGTCATTTAGTTCTTAGTCTAATAAAACAAATTAATTTAATACGCATTTAATCCCAAGATTATCAATGAAAAAATATCTACAGAAATTTTTTTTTAATAAATTTTATTAAACTAGAAAGTGAATTTTTATGTTAAATTTTTATTAATATATAGTTACAATTGCATTTATATAGAATTAACATAAAATTATAAAAATAAAATTTTAATTAAAATAAAATTTTTTAAGTGAAATTTTTGTTTGCCCAAAATATTAAAAATGTTAAAACTCTTCTTTTAAGATAATTTATAATTACGTTAAAATGTTATACAGGTTGTTTCGTATAAGGTGGCAGATATAGCCCGTTGAAAAAAAGGAACCAGATAAACGAGTATAACTTCGAAGCAAATTTTACATACGATTAATTGCTATTTATTTTTGATCTCACAATCAATTAAGCACAATTAATATATGAGCCATGCTTTTCGAGATAGAGAACGTCAAAGCCAGCATTTTTGTGTTGTTTATTATTTTTTGTTTTTGTTCGATACGCTACAATGTGATCTAAAAGTTAACCCATATAACATTTTCCTTTATCTCTCATAGTTTTGCCAGTAAAACATGTTGAATATGTTTAAAAACATTCGAAAAATGCATATTTCATACATTACCAAAAGCAAAAGGTAAAAAACTAAACCGAATCTGAATTGTCGTGACCAAAATGCATTAATGAATTTTAAGATTATGATTTTAATTAAAATTCAATGAAATTTTTATAGATTTAATGTTTTAAATTCAAATATAATTAGATTTAAAATTAATTATTAAAAATTTTTAGACGTTTATGTTTTTAAATTAAAGATTATTTAAAAAGAATTCGTGTTTGGAATATGCTTTGGAAAACCGCAGACTTCTTGCTTATTTTGTTACAATTTTCCAAGTATACCATTAACATTTTAAATTTTTAAATAAAAATGTAGTTTATAAATATTATTATAAAAAAATAAATATTTGCGTCAATACCGTTCATAAGTTTACAATATATTTATAAACAATATGTGTACGTGTAATATCACTTATAAAAATTTTTATTGATGTCAAAATGTCAGAATATTATATTATTTAGTGTCATACACGAGTATTCCTTTTGCGTCATACTACGAATTGGTATAACACAATGGACGTCATATAATAGCTCTACATTTTTTTTTTCTTGTAATAATAATTAAAATTAAATTTGTAAAAATAAAATTTTATATAAAAATAAATTGGTAAATTCTGTAAAAATAAAATTCTTATTATTATTTTATGAATTATCATGATGACTTACGTCAATTGCAAATGAATCCTTTATGCAGGATCATTGATTTCCTTTACTAAGAAATATATAATATAAATTGACATATGTTTATTGGTATATGTTAAAGTTTAATTTAATTATCTTGTTTTTTTTAATAACTGTTATAATTACGGTTAAATTTTATAACATTAATTTAATAAATTGGTTTTGAAGTTGAATAAATTTATTTGAAAATTACACAATATGATTAACATGATTATAATTGAAGCAATTGCTCTGTCTAGAAATCAAATGCACGAATACTTTAAGAAATTCATTTTCCTGGTGTATAATTTGCCCCAATTTCTTTAAATTGTGCTTTATTAATAAATTTGGGTAAATTTCTCTTCTCTTCTCATGTACTGTGTTATGCTGATATTAAAACAGAGATTAACGTTAAAATTTCTTAAAACGCGCAATTTCACATACGTGAAGACATTTATGTATATGTATGGTTTAGCAATTTTTTCATGAAATATTCAAATTTTTTTTTTATAAACATTAAAAATATTAACAAGATTTTAATCTAAAAACAATTATGGGAGGTATCCTATAACACTGCTGTTATTTTATATTTATTCTAGCTAACAAAATGATAAAATCAACTAAGAATGTTACTCACAAAATTACAATTACCTCATTATTTTGCAAACGCAACATTTTTTTTAAAGCAGAGAACCTTGATATACAAATAATCTTCCAAAATCTTCAAATATTTACAAAATTTTTGCAATAAAATCACGTTCGCACGTTTTGTGTTTTTACATACTTAATGGAATATGTTTTAAAAAAAGAAATTTTCACCTATAGGAATTTTATTTAAGATTTTAAAAGATTTTTTTGAAGAAGTTTTTGATATTAAAATGTAATATTTATAATTAAAAAAATTTTCATGATATTCAAAAGTTCCAACACCGAACACTCTTATTAAGCAAAAAGCTATTTTGCAGAACCTAAACAACTTCTGCGAAAAAATTCAAAATTTCTGTCAAAACTGTTATAATTCATTGGATGTAAATAACAATACTTCGCTTTAACAATAATACCCAAAATAAGCTACAAGACTCACGTGAGGCATACGTCACACAGAATTTAATAAAATTGCTTTGCTTTAAAATTTAGTAAAATTTTATTGCTTTATTCTATGTTAATCATGTTAAACCTTATACAAAAGAACTCATACATGTATACCAATTTCTTTTAAATATTTGAAAAAAAACTTTGCCATTAGTTTAATTAATAAAAAATTAATAAAATTAATCTGGCTTTGTTCACAAGTTATCACATAGAATTCTATTCTCCATACATGGGTATGCTATAATAGAATACGAGTACTATGGCTAACAGATGCAATTTTGTTTTTAGAGCTAAATCAAACAGGAAATATAAAT